ACCTAAACCTATATAGCATACTGGAGCATCAAAGACCTGATGATGAAAGATTACGTATAATTTGATGAAAGACGAACCGGATGTATTGTAGAAAAATTATTTCTATACGAAATTAAGAAAGAATGCATTTCCATGCAATTATAAACATTATAATTTTTGTTAAGTCTCGATATTTAAACCTTGTGTTTACGGTGTTAGAAATCAGTCTTGACTTTCCTTATATAATTACATGTGCATTATTTTTATTGCCCCAATATTTGTTTATCATTTAATTATATATAAGTTATTTATAAATTATATATAAATTATATATTATATATAAGTTTGATTATGGTGCTCTTGTTTTTCCTTGATTATCTGGTCCTTTATCCAAACTGATGCGCATTTATGGAGTTGTATTCACGTCTTTTGCAAATTTTCACTAATCTTTACATTTTGGATTTTAATTCGTACTCATTCAATTTTATATTGTTTCTGATTTTGTTAGTTTCATTAATCATGTGCCATGCAGTTTATTCCTAGATACTGCAATTTCTAGTTTCAACGGATCTGAAGAAAAAAATTACTAAAAATCGATTGGTGACCTTTGAACAGAAAAAGAATTGATCAATCGCTTTGGTCAAATGACTGAATTGTTCAAATGTGATTTGTTAATTCTTTCTCTATCCGAGATCTCTGAGCAATTTTTAGTGGACACAAAGTTTAGGATACATCACCATTCAAGATACGCAGAAAATACATAACATACATATGATTAAAAATGAATCGACCACTTGTCATAATTAAGTTAAGATCTCACTTTCTGTGAAAGCAATACTTTCATTGAATTATGTTATTAATATTACAGAAATGGCCATATCCGACAAGTATGAAAAATTACGCTGCTAATGAATACCTGAGGATAACACTTTCTAAAGCTTATGCGGCGCGAGCAGCATATAATCGGAAAGATTATATTCTTCATGCGGCAATAATTAAAACCTGGTTGCCACACCGTCACGCTGATAGATGCTCGCGAACAGGACAAATTATGATAATAAAATTGTCAACGCGTCTCGATCTCTCCATTTTGAGAACACCAATTATTTATTACGCTCGTAATATTCATGCGCACGATCGTACTACTGCTGGAAGCATGCATTCGATGATTGGTCGATGAAATAATTTGTATATTGCGCCACAGGGGAAAACGCTAATGTGACGCGCACAAGTCGACCGATAATTAATCCAAAATGGCGATCTGCGGTTCAAAAAAAAAACACGTTTACGATGGATAATGAACCGCGTCGGGCGCCGCCGGTCAAGTATGCAAAGCGAATAACACGTTCGACTTATGCGATTGTCGGTTGCGGAAGGCAGAAAGGTGCCCGATCGGCCAATCACAATCGTCGCGGTGCACGGTGCACAATGTGCCGATCGACACGTTGATTGGTCGACCGAACGACACCGGTGTCGCGAGGGTTGTGTCTTTCCACATACAGACTCTACTGTCATTTAATGAACGTCCTCCGGGGATATTTCGAAGCGCAATCGAACCGCTGTCCTCGAACTGTGACACCTCTAAGATTGTTGTCGCAGCCTCAGGTCTTTTGATCTTTGCAGGTAGCAATTAACCCTACGCGGTTAAGTTTAAAAAAAATTACAGAATTTCTACACAGGATGTATTAAAAGTGTCTTTCAATTTTAACGACAGATACTGCAGGATAGATAAGCAATCTTGATTTTTCCTTAATTCGAAACATCGATGTATTAATATTTCTCGAGCTGTAAACGTTTAAGGAAACGAGACGTTATTTTGTGAACGGTTAAATAATTTATACATGAAAAGAACGATTTTGTTAAAATATTTAAAAATTTAGCTAGATACAGATCTGAACATAATTTTAATGAATTATCAAAATAGAAACCCTACAGCAAAATTGTTCTTTCCATGTAAAATTATTATTTACAATTTGAGCCCCTATATGATATAATGTAATATAGGTAAAGAAATAAGATAATCAAAAGTATAACGGAAACCGCGCATTCTACAGTTCAATAAAAGTTCATCGAAGTGTTCTTCGTAATAGACCGTTGCGATCGTAAAAGGCGCAAGATCTGTGACGATCGGCGGAGGTTAGCTTTCTTGCGAGCGGTTCGACGTTCTTCTCGCAACATCCTAACGACTTTCCAAGCAACAAGAAGTAGACTGCGCCGAGTAAAATCACGCATACGCGCTCCGGGAAGCCTCGGCATTGTTTTAGAAGAAAATACGCTGGCGAAGTCACGGTGATTAGACGCCGCAAGGTGTGGAGGATCGGGATCGATGGATTCCTGGAAAGAGCGAGCGTAGGTGTAAAAATGCCTCGGTGGGCAATCGTCACGGTCGGTTCGCCACATTCTGTCCGGCCGGACATCCCGCGGCGAGGGAGGTGATGGCTCCTCCACGCATACATACGTAAGCATGCACATGCTCGTATGATAAACGTACGAAGCGTGGAACCATTGTGGTGGTTCCGTCGGCAGAAGGAAGCAGGAGGAACCGTGCCCGGATTGCGTCGCTCGCCGTCGCTCGCCGTCGCTCCCGCAGCGTTAGGAACAGCACGCTCGTCGTGGGAGCGGCGAATTCCGCACGCAATTATCCTGACGCGACATTTGTTAGGGTCCTGTCGCCCGGTTGGAGTCCATCGGTCTCGACGGGGCGACGAAGGATAGGACAGAGTCGAAGGCAGAGTCTCGAAGGATAACAGAGCGCGGGTTCGTTCGCTCTTGTCGCGCCCGCGCCGCCTAGTTACGAAGTCACGTTCCTAGAGTTCCTTGAGGTTTGATTTTGTCGATACTCCCTTTATGATACACGAGAAACCGACGATATCTCACCGGAGCAATATCTCACGACATCGGCACGGATAACGCGCCGCGAGATCCGAATTGTTGCGTCTACTTCGGCGCGCTACTTCGAAACGAGAATTGGAACGGATGTAATCACGGAACAAAGTTCGGTTTCCAGAAGCAACTGATGTAAATTCAATCTACGACGTGTAGTACCATAAGGATAAGAACGCAATTGGCGACGGAGTAAAACCATCGCCTTTGCCGTCCGCGAATGATATATCGTTGATTACGCTCACATCGATTGAATTTAATTACGGAAATACACCGGCACTTGCGACCGTTTCAACCTCGCGCGTCGTCGCGAGGAAGAATTACTGCGTATAGAAACGAAGGAGATCTAAGTGTGCCGTCGTCGTCGCCACGATCGATGAATAATAAAACGCCCGAATGCCGGAGCGGTCGGGATGCCGTCGACTTGTCGTGCCCCCCATTCTCAATGCGACGTTGATAAATAATTATTGGAGTATAGACGTTAGGCATTTACAAGCAGGTGCGCATTCGAGGAGAGACGGTATTTCGCGACACCTGGTGCTGATTAACGAACGAAATCGTCGGCGCGAACGAAGTAACGCGTAGCGACTTAAGCGGCCGGCTAAATTGCCGCGTTATTCCTGTAAACCGCGGCTATCCCCACGACTGTCCAATTACCGGACGAGGTGGCGAGTCGTCTCGTCCGGGGATACACGCGTTCCGCGCGCGCTCGCACCGACTTGGAATCGTGGCTTCTTTTCTGCCGGCGACGGCACCGTTAAGGACGGATAATGAGACGAGAGTCGCGAGACGGCCGAAAAAAGAGAGAAACTCTCGCGCGCGAACCCGCGTCGTCGTATTACCGCAAGCTACCGTACAGCGTAGCGCGGTAGCGCAATTTCATACACAAAACCCAAGTGAACCCCGATGCGATGACCCCGAACCTCCATTAGATTTATACGCATATAGTCGCAATATTGCATCGCCGCTCGCCACCGTGATTCCAAGATACACGGGGTGTTGCAGGCCGAGGCGAGACACAGTTTCCGCGGTCTTTATCTTGAGCAACCGCGTTTTGTTATCATTAATATTACTTATATCACATTCATCGTGATGATAAATGCTCGGATAGAAATTATAAGCTACCATCGATCGAGGAGTCGCGTGTGGATCATCGGTCGACGCATCACCGATAATCGATGGAGTCGTTTATTTTTTTTCTTAATTATGCGCGCGTCCGGGAATATGTTATGAGTGTTAAAACGAGTGTATTAATTAAAGCGCTTTCAATGGGAGTGGTACATCTCGGTTACGTGACACGATATTTACTCCGCCGGTGGTACTTACGTGCTGCCAGTATCGCAATGCACGCACGACGACGATGCTAATTATGCGGGAAATGTAAAAAAGGATACCGCGCGCCCGAGGAATATGAAACGAGCTATGAAGAGCAAGAAACGAGGCTATTCAATGATCAACGTCGGCAGTCGCATAATTTACCGCGCGAGACTTCTTATCTTTTGTTATTACGATCGATATATTCTTCTAAATTGTTATCTTGAATTTATTTTGTACTCTTTCGATGCTAATACTATCAATATGTCTTGTAATTATAATATAACTGAATTATATAATGTGAGAATTAGTATATTATTATAATCTCATGTCGGCTAAATGAAAAAAGAAATTGCTAAAAAATAAAAGTAAAAATAAATGTGTTCTCATGCATACTAATATCTGCTGTTCTTACGTTAATATTAATCTTTCTAAATTCGAATTTATGCTACAAATTATTTCCATAACGTCATATTCGATTGTAATTTGAATAAAATTTTGATATCATCGAGAGATCTTCACTTTTTGAATAATCTGAACTTAGATTCTATGACTTCTTCTTAGCAACGCGTGTCAAACAAAATAGCGCATCAATAACAACAGTTCAGTTATCTCCGGACAGACCATTGACGAGCAATACATTCCATCCTCTCTTCCCAAAATCATATTCGGCATCTCAATATAACCGATTTTTATCGGTTATTAAATCTTCTTAGTAATTATTTTAACGCACCGGCTTAAATGTGCCGTTTCCAAGTGTACGCGTTCACCGTGTCCAAGTTACCTTAACGTCGTCGCACATTTTGAAAAGTCGCAAAGGAACTATCGCGACTATTCAGAAATCATCCTGCGCCAAATGATAAGCCGATCGCTGAAATTAACGTCGACGACGATCTTCGTGCGACCTTCGACCTGTCCGAGCTCTTCGAATGTGGCCTCTAAAATTCTGACGAGATCTGCTCATGAGACAACACGCATCTTGGAATATCTTCGAAGGATAGAAGAGGCAAAAAAAGGTGAAATATGACAAAGCCAAAGATGTCGGCCCTAGTGGCCTCTGCCATACGAAATCTGCGGGAAATTCGTGGTTCCACGTCGAAGGAAATCATGAATTACATTAAATCCCAATATACGGGATCGGACTCCAACATACAAAAACAGGTAATTAACAGCTTACTTAAAACACTTTCATGTTTTTACTTAAAAAGCATGTCGTTACATGTATTATTTTTATGATATTCTTATCAATATATTTCTTATTCTCACCACAGAAGTAATTAACATATAATAATAATTAATTTTAATACATTAATATTTAAATTTAGAATTTCTTATTTTCCTAAATTTCAAAAGATATCATATAAAATTTTTGAATTCTGTTGCATCATTACTTAAAGTACGGAAAATTTTACTGAAAATTGTAGGTTAATGAATGCAGTAGAAAAGTTTGTTAATCATACAAGAAACGCTTTTTTTCGCAGATATTCGCTGCCTTGAAACGTGGCTTGGACTACGGTATCCTGAAGAGGGACCGTGGTTATTACAGCCTGAATACGGATCCTGAGATGATGTACAAAGCACATACCGTGGCGCCCATGGAGCAAGGTAGAAGAGGAAGGCGAAGAAGGCGACGACGTGGCCGTGGAGTAACGCGAGGGCGAAGACCAAGTCGCCGAGGCCGCAGGAGGAGGAGAGGCAGGGGCAGAGGCAGGGGCAGAGGCAGGGGCAGGGGCAGAGGCAGAGGCAGGGGAAGGAGGAGGGGAAGGAGAACCTCAAGAGGCAGAGGGGGAAGCCCCGGGCTTCTTCGAACGAGGTCCCTCGCAACCAGGTGCAAGTGTGCCACGTCCAGGAAGCGCACGGACGACACCTTGAGAAATTCCCCGGTGGAGAATCTCCGAAAGGATATGACTTATTTGTATAAGAAGGGTATCAACAATCAGACGCCGTCCAGACATCAGAGTCGTAGTCGGGATCGAAGTCAGACGCGCAGCCGATCGAGTAGCAGCGACAAGGAAATGATTGACGACCAAAATCGCGATCAATCGTGAATCTACACACGAAAAGTTACTGCGAATCTTAATCCTTCGCAGTCGTATATCGTCCATGTAAAATTGACAATTGAAGTTTTATACAAAATTGAAATTTTGTTTATTAGGTACATGAAAAAACGTATTATTATATTCTATTATTGTATATTATTTCGTACAATTCAATTTAGAAAGCAAATTTTATATCTTTAATCTTTTAATCAGGACTGCAAAGGATTAATTGTTCGACGCGGTGGTTATCAATCGATGACGCGGGGATAACTCTGACGAATTTATAAATTTTGTCTTATTTTGATGATAAATTACAGTGTTACGAAATGTACGTCGACAGCGAACCTTGTTTTGTAGTCTTCGACTTTTTAAAAAAATTTTATATGTTTCCTTTACACTGACTGATTATATAAACTGTTGTATCACTAATTTCTTTTGTACTTATTTCGATTATTATTTCTTTCTCATTCGCTATATAGCAGCGAATTCTAAAATTGTGAAAATCCAGTCAATTATTTTCAAACTTGAATCGAGAGACGACAACCAGTGTTTTCTCTTCTTCGAAAAGCGAAATCACAAAGTCTCATTGCTTTGACACGATTTTCAGGTGCAAAGGATTTTCACGTGGCTCGAGGTCCTGATGGAGATAGTTCAAATAAAGCCGACTGCTATAACTCTTTGTCGCGACGAGGTCAAGGCAGGTTAAAAAGGATCGAGAAGTGATTAGTAGCATTTACCGGTCTCGAGCGAGGAAGCAAAGGAGACACGGAGCGAGAGAGAGAAAGACGTCTGCCGATTCCCGGTACCGTTTAGATATCCTGCGGTCACAATGCCGCCATCTAACTGCTCCCTATTCTCCGACAGGACTCTCCCCCGGAGGTCGTCGACGTGACGCTAATACCGGAATCTATCATGCGATACTAATACGATTCTAACGGTGACTCTTTCTATCCTAAGATCCTTCTATAGCCGGAGAACCGTTCGCTGTTCTTCCGTTCATAAGCGAAACTCTCTTTGGTGGTCCATTCCACATCCCAGATTATTAATTTCGATATAAAAAGACATATTAAATCTAAAAATACTATCCGAAAATGCTAATTGTTTCATCTCTGTTTCATCTCTGTGACCCGACATCATCAATTTCCACGACAAAATTTACATACAATGATGATTTCGTACGAAAGCACAGAATATCTCTGAATAAAATGTTAGTATTACTAATTAACGAAATAAAACATTATACAGTTATAACGTATCTTTTTGGGCCATGAAACTGCGTAAACGAGAATACATTATTTTAAAAAATATGTCGCACGAAAAAATTCAAGTAATAATAAATTCATGGCAGTTTTTTTTTTTACTAATCTTCTCATTTTGTCAAGAAATAACGAGATAGCACGGAGAATAGAAGTTACTCGCGGTCGTTGGCAGGCGTAACCATCGTGTCCCGAACAGAGTTTCAAGCCGCTGCGTGGTTCCACCTAAATGACGTCGGACAGATAGGAGGAAACCTCGGCGATACCATCTTCTCTTTGCGCGCGATTGCTCGTGAAACTCCGGATGTCGAGGTGTCAGTGAGTTCTCACGTACACCGACCGGCCGAGATAGCGTCACCCCGGCATTACGCGGTGATATCATTAAGGTAGATTTATGCTACCACCGGCAGCAATGTCGACTCTCCCGAGCTAGATTAGGAGCTAGCCCACAGAGACTACACTGACATCTCTGACTCAACTCATATCGTGACTTACATCGGTGTGCAAGAAGTGTGTCCGAATGTACATGCAACGTAGTGCTCGTCGAGTACTTAATGCTCTATTAGAAAAAAAAAGGATAAAATCGATTACCACGAATGGTTTTATCCTCGAAGACGGAAATAGCTTAACTTTTTTGTAATAAGACAATCCTTCTTGCTTTATATTTGTAAGGTTATTTTTAATACAGTTTGACAAGAAACTAAGTTTACTTTAATTTGATATGTAAAGCTTATTTCAATATATGTTTCTTTAATAAATTGAGATAAAGTTTGAAAAGTGATTTCAGCAATTTATTACTAAAATATAATTGAAAAAAATGCGTTTCACTGAAATTCTGCTAATAACATGCAGAAATGCATTTTATATAATTACTATCAGCCAAATTTCTTAGAATTAAGTTTTGTAGATGTAGAATCGCAAGATTAAATTTTTGTATTTATAATATGAAATATTAATTCATAAATCATTATAATTACATGATTTAATTACTGACTTAGTTAACTTCATAATCTCAGTTTTTGGACAAAGCGGTCATTTACGTAAGAGATTATAACGTTTCATGTTTTCTCGTTTACAAAAACAAGAAGAAAGAAGAATCTGAGATAATGTAACAAGAAACTGAGAGGCACGAACGTGCTCAAGATCACTGCTCTAGTTCATGTCAACGCAGGAATTTAATTGCTCCGCTATCTCCACGCTAATATATCCGGACCACACGAGAGAGATTTTAATTCGTGCGATTCGCAGCGTTGATAACTACCGGGTACTCAAATTAGGCTACATCGACGATATGGAAACAGCAGGTGGCGATCCTGGCATCCAATTATAGTCCGAAGTGTTATTAACGATCGATCGCAATACAGCTCCCGTACTTAACTAGTGGGCAAGTATATGCTGCATCATCTACCAACGCTCTCCTAATCGTCTGTCTTATATTGTGCGAGACGGTACTACCATTAGGTGATGGACGTATACGGATCTAATCACATAATTTCCACCAAGATTTCCACATCGATACTCGTTTCTTATAACTTGAGGATGCTTAACAATTTCTTCAAATTCTCTCTTTAAAAATTATTCTGACGTTAAGATCAATCAATTCTTTATGCTAGAAATATGAAAGGACACGCATTATATCAATTATCTTGTCTTCATTATATAAATAAATTATGTAAATAATTATGTAAATAAATTAAGAAATTCTACGTGTTTCTAGCAACTAAATCTTCATCAGGACTTATAATTTGTTACTTATATTAATTATCTCAATTAGAATCATGATAAATTGAATCAAGAAATTCTAATTTTCTATTAAAAAACATTTATAATTGTCTATTTTCAACTAATGGAAATTCTTTTTCCAGCATAGACATTATCCTCGAGTAAAAGAGAAAAACCGAAAATAGTAGGTTTATTACGGTTGTAATGAGGATGACGGTGAAATGTGCGAATTATCACTGCTCCTCTCTGATACGGTGGCAGATTTAGCGTTCTGCCAGATTTCTTTTCGCCGACATTTTGCCTCGCCCGATCGGCGTTCATTACCGCGGTCGCTCTGAAGTATAGTCGCTTAACTATTTTATCCTAGCTGATAGATAGTGCATTCGCACATTATTACCGAACACTCCGCCAATTTTATGAGTCTAAATTGGTATATGGCTCTTTTACCCCCAGCCAGCCTGCTCAGACCCAAGCGACGCTAATAGTGTGTTTACCGATAACGATCTCGATGATACGATATAATCGCGCAAGGAAAATATCGGGCATGTAAGTTCGACGTAATTTACGAGTCTCAAACTCGATCCCGCAAATCCGACCGGAAGTCGTAGGCGTAGTGGGCAACTCGGATTTTCGCTTTTCGATCCAGATAAAAAATTGCGAGAGAATTGAACAAGACGACGCGACCGCGATGGAAAATGGAATATGAACAGTTCTGGTTTCAACTCGATACGTCATCTCAGTCGTTAGCGCGAGAGCGAGTTTATTGCTCGCTTTTATGTTGTATAATTATCCATTGTGAAATTCGTTTCTCGTCCATCATGTCACACCTCTGCTAGAAAAAGTCATAACTGGCAAAGCCGCAAGTTTTGAGTTCATTCGTGTCGTGAATATTTCCAATGATTGATATTTCGACTGAAAACGCGGATCTGAATATAACGTTATTGCTGCGGGCTAGAAAGCGGTAGTATTACATTTTCATTGAATCATTTGCGTAATTTAAAGAATTCTTTTGATTGAAATTATATTAATTTTAACACATGCGATACATGCAGTATATCACGAAATTTTAGAGTTACGTTTATCAATTATAGATTATAAAACTATAATCTAAAATAATAAAACATCGCAATAAATAGAACGTTATAAAGATAGCGTATTGATTATATTCTTATTCGAATTTATATCTTTCATTGTATGAATTAAACTATTTATATTATTTATACTAAATAGTGAGAAAATTATTTCTAAAAGTGTCTTATTTTGTCAAGTAAGACATTCCAATGATATCGATAATTATTTTTTTCTGCAGTCTTCAATTAATTCTGCTTTAATTAACCTTGAGATAAGGTCGAAATGCGGGTAGAATGTAAGCCTCGCAAAAGCGTGACGAGTCGTAAATACGGTGGGTTAGCGGAAGAGCTTTGACGTTACACCTGCGACGTGCGTTTAATAGACACGCTATACGGATACGGTTTTTGTGGCATCTTAAGAGCAGGCTGATTGTATCCACACCGGTCGTATCGCCTGTTGCAAGTTGCAACGCTGCAACTCGCATTTGCATCACTAATTAGCGGGGTCCTGAGCGGTCGATATCGACGTTGATAGCATTAACCGCTCTGTTTTTCGTCGAAATCGCAACACGAATTTTAATTATCCCTTTCGTCCGTCGATCGCTCGTATTAGTGTCTCCGATTAATCCCACCGCGATAATCTATACGCATTATGAGTAACCGTATGCATAGCAAGATGGCATTATGGCAGAACGTTTGGATATCTCTCCGGAGATATCCATACTTTGTCAGAAGATCTCTGCGCGTATAAATAAAGATGAATATACTTAAAATATTCTCATTGCTATCTCTGAAACGTATGAATAAAAAATAATACAGTTATCTTCTGTGTCAAAGGTAATTATAAATTTTCTAATTACTTAAATTTTATTCCGTAAACAGTTTTTTAAAATTTCATAAACGTGACATATTTGCATTCATAAATTTTGTTCTAATATAATGAATATCGTTTATATATCAT